AATAAATGCTAGTTGTTATTACTATTTTTATTACTAATGGATGCTCTCAGCACAAACATACTGCCGTCCCGCTACTCACAGGAGAGGAACTGCATGCATATCTGGACTCGGGTGACAGACTCATGAACTCGCTGACTTCAGCTCTGCCGGCTCCTTCCTGCAAGGATTCTTCCAGGGAGAGAAGTGTCCATTCAGGACGCTCGCCCAATGAAAGAGCCAGGAAGGGTTCCTGCTGCCCTTCCCCGGCAGCTGATTGGGAGGCATTCATTTGTCTTCATTGAGGAAAGGCCAGCGGGACTTTCCGAAGAGGCCAGCTTGCGCGTGGTTTCAGAAAAGAGCTCTATTAGTCCCTCCGAGGACATAGGGTGACGTCATCTCGGTCAGCCAGGAGTCAGGCCGGCCCTGGACGCCCGGCGTTCATGGACAGATAAGAGCAGCCTGTGAGGGCAGGAAATGCCTGTCCCCTTCCCGGAGGCAGGCAGGCCTCCGGGAGTTTATTTCTGTAGGAGCCCTTTCTTCAGGGGTGCCCAGGGAACCAGACCCTGGGCCACAAGCTCTGTTCCCGGGGCAGCCAGGCCTCAAGGACACTCAGCTCCAAAGAGCCTCTCTCTTTGCTTCTTCAGGCTCAGCCACCAGCTCTCACAATCAGGAAGCTAAATTGACAGCACCTAAGGGCCCCTCCCCCCAGCGCCCTCCCCCCAGGGCAGCTAGCATTTACTATTTGCTAGGCTCTCTCCAAAGAGCAAGAACACGACAGGTTTCTCATCATTTAATTCTTCTACGCCACAATGAGCTCTTTAAAACCCCATTTAACAGAGGAAAAGACCCACATTCAGAAAGGTGGAGTCACTTAGTGAAGATCAAACAGGCAAGAAGGGGTCACGGCCATGACCATAAACCAGGTCTGTCTGGGTGCAAAGCTCAGCTGCTTAACCGTCACCCCGCTGGACGAAGCCTTGGGAATCCTCCCAGATGCACAGACTAACTCAAAATCGGAGGCACAAGGAAAAGCCACCACAGAGCAAGGGCTCTTTGCTTTTGAAATGGTATCATTCATTGTATCACTCCCTCCCTCGCGGGTAATTATTCAAGGACTTGGCGAGGGTTTCAACCTCCCAGGCTCCCTCAGCTGTCTTCTATTTGGGTGGTCCTTGTTGGGGTCTGACCTCACAGTTCTAAGTAAGTCAATTAGCATGTATTCACTGAGCACCGACTCAGTGCCCAGCACCCTGCTAGGCCCCGAAGAGGAGAGAAGGGCCAGGTTTCAGTGGGGCAGGCATGGAACATGCCCTTGGCTCATCTGGGGAAGGGAGAGCCCGCAATGAGGAGCTCAGCGAAGGGAACAGCCGCCCCTGCTCCAGGTCTCTGGGAGAACATGGCCCGAGGTCCTGCTATCTATCAGGCCTGGGAGGTGAGCAGAGTGACTCAGGTGTCAGGGAGACAAACCTGGGTTTGAATTGCTACCCACTGGCTGCCTGCCCTCTGACCCTGGAATACCTGATCTCCCAGCCTCGGTTTCCCCGTCTGCACAATACGACTACTATCACAGTAAAATGATAGAACCTTACTGGGAGGCCTCAACAGCACGTGCTCCTGGAGCGCTCAGCACGTCGCACTATGTAGGACCTTCATGGAGTGATTTTTCGGGGTACAGCCACCTTGTGGTCTCTAGCGGCTGTTCCCAATTCTGGCTCGCCAGGGAACTCTTTGTAAAGGGGCCCCACGAAGCATCCACCTCTGTAGCCGGGGTGGAGATAGACAAGGTAGATGCTGAATGTTTTGCACTCACCATCTTAAGCAGGTTCGGGAGGAGCTCTCTGGTCAGGACAGTGGCTCCAGGTCTGTACTGCGCCGGCTGTGAGCAATCCCGCGGTCTTCCTTCAAGTCCTCTGCTGCCCTCTAGTGGACATGGGCTGCGGCCTGTGTGGAGCTTGCCTGTGATGACGCTGGTCCCTCCGGTGTGTACACTTGGGGAGCACTGTCACAGATGCCCCTCACTGGTTCTTATTTAAGCCTGGTCACGTGAGTTGTTATTACCCGCGTTTGGAGGTCTAGATGAGGAAGGGGAGGCCAGGGAGGGAAGCACTGCCCCACAGTCACAAGGCAAGTTCCTAGGACTGGGACCCCGATCTCTGAGTGGCCTAGCTCTTTGGGTCAAGGGTGGGGGGTGATAAAGCCTCGAGATCATGGGCGGTGAGGACATCTCTCCCGTCACGGGTCATGGAGTCCGGGGTGCTGTTCACCTCCCGCTTTGCCAGGAATGGGCAGACTTTGGCTCCAAGACCAAGGGCATTTGGGGCAAGGCCAGCAGCTGGTTACCTCCTGGGGAAAGAGGGTCAGCTTCTGTGCCATCCCCTTCCACCATGAGCAGAGGGAGGCCTGAACCTTGACCACAACCTTTGATCTTAGTTCTGCCCAATGTTCTTGATGTCCCTGCTGGTCTACTCACCAGGCCTCCCCCACCCCCCACCCCCCCAAAAAACAGGTCCCAGTGCCCAGCTCCTCCCCATCTTGCCATTCCCCTCTGTCCCCCAAGCTCCTGGCCTACGGTTTTTTCGTTTGGTTTCTGTATTCCAAGTGCTTTTCTCTCCATCTCCCTCCTCTAAGCCTTTGTAGTTGCTGTTCCTTCTGTCTGGAATACCTTCCTCACCACGCACCCCATGCACTTCTGTCTGGCTGACTCCTCTCCCCTGGCCACAGCTTCCCCCATCACTGCAGTCGCTATCCAGTCTTATCACCCTCTCCTCCCTCCTTCCCATCCCAGCCTGACCAGGAGTCCTGTCCTGTTCTCCGTTCTGTCCTCATGCACCCAGTGTGCATTTGGTGAATGAATGACTGGACAAATGAATAAAGGGGGACTCAGGGTGCTGAACATTAGTCTAATCTGTCCCCCCGCTCGGTCACAAGCTGGATGACCTTGAACAAGTTCCATTCCCTCCCAGAACCCGTGTTTTCTTTTTTTATTAATATTTTTTATTGATTTTTTACAGAGAGGGAGGGAGAGGGATAGAGAGTTAGAAACATTGATGAGAGAGAAACATCGATCAGCTGCCTCCTGCACACCTCCCACTGGGGATGTGCCCGCAACCAAGGTACATGCCCCTGACCGGAATTGAACCCGGGACCTTCCAGTCCGCAGGCCGACGCTCCATCCACTGAGCCAAACCGGGTAGGGCATAGAACCCGTGTTTTCATCTGATAATGAGGCCTCTCTTCCCCACAGCTCAGGACACCTCTGAGGCTCCGAAGCCTCCTACACGGGCCCTTCCCCTTGACATGGTTCCAGATCTGGCCAGGTATCTTGGATCCCTGCGTCCCCTAGGAGGACAGGAACCCAGAGCCTCCATCGCCCCACCCTGATGGCCAGAGAGGAAAGAGGGGTCAGCACCCCCTGACCACTACCAGCCGTGCATCTTTGAGTCCCGGGGTTAATTTTTTAAAAGCAGCTCAAAGTCCAGTGGGCCTTGGCAGAGTTCGCTCCCTCTGTGCTGGTTAATCATCTCGAGAGAGCAAACAGCCCCGGAGGCAGGAAAAGTCGACATCCTGGCTGGGCCTCTGGCCTCTCCCCTCCCCCAGGAGAGGCTGCGTGGCTGGATGAGCAGCCCTGTCCAAAGGGGCCCAGGTTCTTCTTCACCCGTGTGCCTCGGGCTTCCCGTGAGCCAGGGGGCCTGACAGTCTCATGCAGACCTGCTGTGAAGGTCAGAGGAGCCATCATGGCACACTAAAGGCAGCCTTAATAGGGCGTTCTATTTCCACTGTGGTTTTTTCCCAATATTGATTCTTTTTTTATAAATGTATTTTTATTGATTTCAGAGAGGAAGGGAGAGGGAGAGAGAGAGAGAGAGAGAGAGAGAGAGAAACATCAATGATGAGAGAGAATCATTGATCGGCTGCCTCCTGCGTGCCGCCTACTGGAGATCGAGCCCGCAACCTGGACATGTGCCCTGATTGGGAATCGAACCCAGGATCTCTTGGTCCATGGGATGATGCTCAATCCACTGAGCCACCACAGCCAGGCTCTATTTCAATTATTAATGACTCCTTGTTACATGCCATTCTTATACTAGGCCTGGTTTCTCCAAAGACAGGCACGCCTGGGTCTAGCACACAGGTAGGACAGTGGACTGTCACACACATGGCCTCAACCTCTTGGCAGACAGAGTGGGGACTGAGGAAAGCGGGCTTCAGAGAGGGAAAGTCACTCCAAAGTCACACAGAACCGGGAGCCAGGGCTTCCCGCTCCCACTTCTCCGCACCCCAGACTGCACAGAAGGCAGTCTGGCTCCGGGGCCCAGGCTCTCAACCACACCAAATGCTGCCTCCTCCAGCAGCACCGCTAACCAGACGTGAGACCCTGGGCAAGTCGTTTACCTCTCGGAGACTCACATTTCCTGTCTGTAAGGGGGACCTGCACCTAGTGTATGGGGTTGTGGGGATTGAGTTCAGTTCCTGGCCAGTGTTAAGTGCTGGAACATAGCAGGTGCTCAGTGAATGGAAGCTATCATCATCATCATCGTCATCATTGTTTCTACTATAACTTGCTGGGGCTATGGGAAAGCAGTGGTGAGAGAAGGAACCCTGGGGACAGGAGGTCATAGACTTCCCTACGGTCTCTGATAAGTCACTTCCTCTCCCTGGGCCTCAGTTTTCTCATGTGAGAAATGGGCTCAATCAGGCTCATCCTCCTGACTCACAGGTGGTCCAGGTGGAATGACCAGCAGGGAGTTCAGGGCTACCTGGGTCCTTCACCCTCACATGCCCATGACAGGAGGGGTGTTTCTTGGGAAGCCTTTCTGGAACTGAACCCAGCCTGGGCTGCAGCTGGCCTGTTGTGTTTGGTCAACGCCTCCTCTGAAACAGACCTCCTGGCCCCAGCCAGGGCACCACAGGGATCGACCAGCCCTGGCCTTGGGGCCCTGATTGGTCCTGGCTGAACAGGGCAAACACCAACGTCACCTATAAACCAAAGGTCCCTTCCCCAGCCTCAGTTTGCAGCCACCTCGGTCAGGGAGCTCCTCTGTCCCCACTGAGCCTGTGAGTGACCCCCTTGGTAGAGGAGCCAGAGCCATGTGGAGTCTCGGGGCCCTGTTTGTGCTGCTGACCGCCTGCCTGGCGGTGAGCGCCAACCCTGTGCCCACGCCGCCGGCCAACATCCAAGTGCAAGAGAACTTCGACGTGTCTAGGGTAAGGCTGGCCTCCGGGGTGATGGGGTGACGGCGGTGAGCTGGGGTCTCTCTCTCCCCATCTGGAACTCAGGGCCGGGTCCCTAAAGGCTTTTCCTGCGCAGACTGTCTGGGGTTTGTTGACGCGACAACTCCATGCACCTGCCATTCTATGGGACTCGTCTGACATCCCCAGTCCAATGCCCTCACCTTCGAACCCGTCCGGAGAAGGTTTTATGGGGACTGCTACCCCTGCAGCCCCCCACAATGCCCAGCCCTCACCCTTTAACCACTCACTGCACCCCACAGCACCCGTTAGCCTGTCCCGGGTCCCCTGCCCTCACAGGCCTGGGGTGGCACAAGGCGGGCATGTGGGGTTATGGGAAAAGAGAAGCAGGACAGAGATCTGGGCTGATGGGCATAAGAGGCCTGGGCAGGGTGCTGTGTGCGGGGAGTCCTGGGACTTCCTTCCTGGCCCTGTTCTGTCCCAGTCACTGGGCGACCCGGAACAGGACCTTGTCTACCCAGGTCTCTCATGGGTACAAGGGGCTCTCATACTGTCCTACCTGTGCGTCCTGTGGATTTTACTCACTTTCAGGGACTAGGAAGGGTCGTGGGTGGAGGGGTCTGGGATGGCGAAGGGTCGCAGGCTCGGCGCCCTCTGCAGGGATGGAGGGTTCTCTAACTCCCTGACGCACAGTCAGAGGGAGATGTCACGCTTGTCCCACATCAGCTCAAGGTCAGGCGATACTTTCCAACATGCAGTGCTCAGAGGTGGTGAGAGCAGGGTCCCCTGACCCGCCCGTGGAGAGCAATGGTTGATGATGACCTCAGGGCACGAGGCTGTGGACCCCATCCCAGTGAGCACAGCCCTCAGCTCTCAGCGGAGTAAGGCCTTCTAGGGCGGGGTGGGGGGGGGATGCCTGAACCTCCCCACTCCAAGCTTGCCATGGTGCCTGAAGTTCCACCATTCGGGCTCCATCTGCCCTTGAAGCTGTGTGGCCTCCAATTAGCGATAAGATGTCACATAAAAATTGAGTCATTCAGAGGAGGGAGGGGAGCAGACTCCTGCCAAGTCTTCCTCAAGGTCAGGGGCAAATCCCAACCCCGAGCACTGTGGCTGCCTCCTAGTTCTACGGGAAATGGTTCCACGTGGCCATCGGCTCCACCTGCTCCTGGCTGGTGAGGTTCAAGGACAGGCTGACCGTGAGCACGCTGCTGCTGAGAGAGGGAGAGACCGAGAGGCAGATCAGCACGACCATTACTCGTTGGCGGTGAGCTTGGGGGTAGGGTGGGAGGGGAGGGGGACCAGGGCCCACCCCACCCTGGCTTCGCTCGCCACCACGTCCTGGAAAGCAGCAGACCTCTCCTTCCAGCCAGGCCCTGGCCTCTGAGCTGGATCTCTCTGCTTTGCTCCACCAACAGGGCGTCCTTTCTAACCGTCCCCTCTGCACCTCGCGGGCGGTGCCTCCAACGCTATGCCAGCTCTTCAATCTGCTCTCGCTCTTGGGCATCCCTTAGCTCAGTAAGGGCACTTCCACCCACCAGGGTCCCAACCGGGAACTGGGCGGGAGAGGGCTGGCCTGGATCCTTCATCAAGCCCCGTCCATTCTCTCTGGATTCTCTCCAATCTGTTCCCTTCTCCCCTCTTCCCAGTCACTAGCCGTGGTCCAAGCCACCCCCTTTCTTCCCTCCTTGTCTACAACAGCCTCTCTGCTTTTCTCCCCACCTCTAATCTCGAACCTTCCATTCAATTCATTCTTCACCCAGCAACCAGAAAGACCTTTCAAAAAACTCAAATCTGCTGAAACATTTCCATCGCTCCCTACTGCCCTTGGGAATAAAATTCAACCCCTTTGACATGGCCTTCCAGGCCCCCCTGCCCCCAGCACTCACCATCCCCTGCCGCACTCTCTACCATGAACTCTGTGACCCACCCAAGTGGACCTTCTTTCAGTTCCCGGAATCCTTCATCCTCTCCTACCTCTCGGCCTTTGCACCATATATTCCTTCTACTGGGAAAATCTCTCTCCACCTCCCTGGGCTAATTCCTTTGGATCCTTCAGGACTCAGGTTCTATGTCACTTCCTCCAGGAAGCCCTCCCTGACCACCGCAGGTTCAGGTTACATGCCTTCCTTTGTGCTCTTGGAGCACCTCCTGCTTCCTGAACGTGGTACACTGACTGCATCAGCCTCTGGCCTGCCCCCTGTCCCACTCAATTGTAAGCGTCACATGGGGACAGGGCCTGTCTTGCCCTCCTCTGTATCCCTAGCAGGTAGCACAGCGCCTGGCACACTGATGCTGCTCGATAAGTAATGCTCGTAACAAGGACAGTTAAGATGTGCGTATGTTTACGCTAAGCTCTTTACATTCAAAACCTCATTTGATCCTCTCAGCCACAATGTGAGGTAGACACTATCATTACCCCCATTTCACACGTAAGGGAACTGGGGCAAGAGAGACACAGAGTAATCAACGAAGGCATTACTTCACCCCTCGGACTTCCCAGTGAATCGACATAATGTGCAGATTTGGTTAAGGAAGCTGATTTTTAGTACTCGCTTTGCTAAGGGATGGCATGGATTAGTCCCTTTTTTCTCTGTCCCTCGATCCCCTCATATGTGAAATGGATGAGATGTCCCCCAAGGCTGATGTGAGGGTTAAACAAGATAATTGAAAATGTTACTTTCCAATTAAAAAGAGAGAGAGAGAGAGAGAGAGAGAGAGAGAGAGAGAGAGAGAGAGACATTTGGGAAGAACAGGAAGGAGAAGGGGTGTAGGACCATGGCCTCTGCCCGCATTTACCTCGCCTGTGGTCTGTTCACTTCCAGGAGAGGCGTCTGTGAGGAGCACTCTGGGACTTACGAGAAAACAGACACCGAGGGAAAGTTCCTCTATCACAGATCCAGTAGGTGGAGTCGGAGGAGACACCACAGCTCTCTCCTTCGTGGACAATACCTTGATGTCTTCAGCTCTTTCCTTGTCTCCCCCTCTAACCTTCCTCCTATTTTCCCTAGATGTCATCTAGCCTTCTTCCAAATGCTTCCTCCTCCTCCTCTTCCTCCTCCTTCTTCTCTCCCTTTCCCTCCTTCCCTCCCTCCTTCTGTCTCTCTATCACTCTCTCACACATGCACACCCAGAATTAGAGTGATGGTGTGAATGTGAGGATAATATCAAGATTTCATCAGTCTTCATGTTAGGCACCAGCTGATAAAGGTTTGCCAAGCATCTACCATGTACAGCGTGCATGGTGCCATGTGATAGAAGGACTTGGACATGAGTTTATTCATTTATCCAGCAAATGTTTATTGAATATGCTCTGTGTGTTAACTAACCGTGCTCAGGGTTGAATATATGAATGTTTGGGTAGATGGATGGTTGTAGTGAGAGAATAAACAAATGTTTGGTAAATGAATAAACATATGTATGAATGGCAGATAAGTGAATTAATCATCATCCGACAGATAAATTGATGATTTCAGGGATGGAGGAAAGAAGAAAGAAAGAAAGGAGAGAAGGAAGGAGGGATGAAGGAAAATGGATCCATTTATGGATTGATACATGGAGAAGAGGGATGGATGAAGTGGTGGTAGATGAATTAATGATAACTATATGGAGAAGATGGGTGAATAGATAAACAAGAATATGGAAGGGATGGGTAGACAGGATGGCTGAATAGAGGATGTGTGGGTGAACAGGTGAAGGATTGAGGACAAGAGGAGTCTCCTGACCACTGAGCCCTTTGTCTTCCTGCATCTCCCACGCAGGACGGAACATCAACATCGAGTCCTATGTGGTCCACACCAACTACGATGAGTATGCCATTATTCTGAGCAAGAAATCCAGCAGCCACCATGGACCCACAATTACTGCCAAGCTCTACGGTAAAGGCCTGGAACCAGCTAAGCTCATTGGAGCTGGGGGTGGGAGGGACCCGTGGTTTAGGGACAGTGGCGTGGGGAGGAACGGGGAGTTTTGCTTTTTCCTTCGGATAAAACTTCTGTTACAGGACATGTGGGAGCATTTGCTTTGCCTGGAGGAGGTAGAACTCAGTCTCCCGTTTCAGGCAGAATCCTCTTCTTTTGATCTCTAAAATTCCAGACCGGAGAATTCCAGAGCCTCCGGGCCCTTGAGGGACCCGTGGAAGAGCCCCGTGTGGGAGTGGGGAGACCCGAGCAGGGGGTTGGGAGGGACACTTCTTCCTTTTCTGGAGCTGACCTTTCCATCCTGTGCTGAAGAGGTCAAATTGGACCAATAGTTTTCAACGTTCCCCCAATGAAAATCCTGGGCAAAATCCTCACAGGTCCTGCCAGCCCAGGCCCTGCGGTTCTAGGAGCCTTCTCTGCTTCCCACTCACAGGGCGGGGGCCGCAGCTCCGGGAGAGCCTGCTGCAGGAGTTCAGGGAGGTCGCCCTGGGTGTGGGCATCCCTGAGGACGCTATCTTCACCATGGCCGACAGAGGTAAGTGGCACCCCCACCCCACCCACCTTTCTGTCTCCTCCTCATCCTTCACGGCCCCCAGAGAACATCTTCCTAGCCCGTGGGTCTGCCTTGTAACCCTCTGAGGTAAGCAGAGCGGCAGTCCTCTTCCCTCGATACAGAGAAGGCAGCTGGGGCCCCTGGATTTACTCCAAGTCACACGGCGTGAACTTGGCAGAGCCTGGACTAGAACCAGTTCAATGTTCACTCTCCTGCTATGTGTCTAAGTGAGGCGATAGCCAGACTCCACAGGTACCTCTTAGAGGTAATAAATAGAGTGTTAGGATTGAGGCATGGCCTCCAGAGTTAGAGCACCTAGGTTCCAACTGAGCGGTGTGGCTGGCGTCTGGCTGGTCAGTCTTCCAGAGCCTCAATTTCCTCATCTGTAAAATGGGGATAACAAGGTCTCCCATCTAAGTTACTGTGAGGAGTCAGTGAGATAAAGCCGTTAAATACAATAGCACTGTGCCCGGTGTCTAGTAAGCGCTCAACAAATGTTAGCCATTGCTGCCCTGTGATGGTGCAGAGGACATGCTGGTGGTGGGGTGGAGATGACGCCGATGGTGAAGATGGTGCAGCCACCAGCCTGTAGCTTTTCTCATGAATGACCTTCAGTAAGCCACGTGGGCGGAGCCATTCATGAGTGGGCTATTGCAGGAGACAGTTTCCAGTGCGATGCCACCTGGCGTGCAGCCAGCACCATGAACGCAGCAAAGCCCTCTCTGGTTTAGGATGCCCCCCAAGTGTGGTCCTCTTATTCACCTCCGTCTCCTGCCCTCTGACCTAGGAGAGTGTGTCCCTGGGGAGCAGGAACCAGATCTCACTTCATCCTCAGTGAGTACTCTTTCCCCTACTCCACCCCCCAACCCCCACTTGACTTTTGCTGCCCTTGCTTAGGTCCTGCTGTAGTGGTGGCGGTGGGAGTGGTGGGGGGCCATTGAGAGGGGTTGGGGCAGGCAGCGAGGGGCAGGGGGTTGGAGGTCAGTCCCACCTGGCTCAATCTTGGTTCTGCCATTTAGGCTTCTTGCGGCACCACCCGGACCTCACTTTTCTCACGTATGAAATGGAGTAGTTAGTTGCCTTCCAGGAGCTAGAATTCAATGACAGGTTACAGAAGGACTTGGCATGGTGCCTAAAACCAGTGAAGTATTTACTCATGAAATAACAATGCTCAATAAATGAAAATAAAATTACTTCATCTTAAAAAACAAACAAATAAACCCGAGAGCAAGCAGCTTCTCAAACCACCGGGCAGAACGTCTAAGCTGCCTTTTGATTTGGGTCTTCCTTATGCCTCTGTTCTATTTTCCTGCTTTTTGCCATATTGACTGAGCTTTATCCATTCTTTTTTTCTCTGATTATTTGAAAACTATGTAGCCTAATTTATCCTGCCGATGTGTGTATAAATCTATATATGTGTGTAAAAATATATATAATGTTTACTTAGAAACATATTCTTGAAAATTGAAAAACTACAAGAAAGCAAAAAAAGGGACAATGTCCTTATTCCCGCATAGAATTAACAGTTAACGTATTGTTTGCTTCTACACTTTAAAGAAAAATTACCATTGATTTTATAAAAACTAACTTATATAAAGAATTAAAACAATGCAGAAAAGTATTAACAAAATTAAAGTTCTTTAAAAATTCCACCACCTGGAAACTACCGGCATTCACACCATTCCAGGAATCCTGGCGTGCACGCGTGTGGGAGGCCAAATGCAGGAAGGTTGGGTAGACAGAGGCACAGGTTTAGATATACTCTTACTAAGTGGGATTATAGTACAGATGCTACTTCTGATTTTAAAAGCTTCCATTGTCGTTTTATATGAATTTTTTAAAAAATGAAGTGGACTTCTTGAACGCCAAGTAGAGATTTCTTTATCACAAGAGACTTCTTTCTCAAAGAAGGCTCCAAGCAACGTCAAGGCTGTGAGAAAACACTCTTAGAGGATGTCTGTTGTCTCTATGATTGGAAGGACAAATGTTCCATCCCCCGTCCCCTTTCTCTTTACGTTGTCCAGATCATTGCTGTCGCCATAATCCCCAGTCGTTTGGGGGCTGGTGTTATTATTAATTTTTTTTATCAATTAGTTGTTATTATGATGCTGCTTTTCTCTTGGCTTACGGTTCCATGTGTACAGACTTGTCTGCCCAGTGAGATGGAGATGGTGTCTTCTCGCACATCTTTGCAATCTCCCCCCAGTGCCAGGATCAGTGTTGAACAATTGTAGATACTGAACAAGGCCACTTGGATTGATTTCATTTTCCTAATAAATGACTTTCTACATTTTCCAAATTTCCCTAGTTAATGACCCCATCAAATACAGAATCCAAGCCTTCTAGACCTTTTCCCGTGACTGGAGGGTCCTGATTATTGGTTTCCAGGCTGGCATTTACCCTTGGATTCTTCATTGCTTTTAGGGATAAAACTTGCCTATGCCCACGATTCAATTTAGGAATTCATTACTGCTTTGTTGTTCCTTTAAGGGATTAACATCAAGCATGAACTGACGTTCTGTCCTGGGTATTGTGCAATGCTGGTTGATGCACACTGGTCTAATGTAACAAGTAACTCTAATATGTGCTTTCTACTCACAGTTTCCCAGCGCCGTTGGCACTGGCACCTTCAACGGCCCCTACGAGCCTGCAGGAGGACAAGTAAGGCTTTTAACTCGTTTTGCTTCCGTTTACATCCCCCCTCTAGCCAATGCTACCCCGATAGGACGAGGGCAAGCCTTCATCTCCTTGGGGTGTGTGGAGACTGTGGAATCTTGAGATTCCCCGATTTCAAGGAAAGTAGTGATTGTGTTTCAACTTCCACTCAGACAATTTCACCTCGGGATTTCAATGGCACCAGACCATTGTTTTCAAAAGTATGATATGTAGAATGTTGTGACAAGCTTTCTAAAAATCTGGATTACAGCTATCGGACATGAACATTCCATCTTCTTCTGGCAAAGTTGTATTTTTTTTAAATGACAAATTTCAGTTCTATTGTTTCAACATTCAAATATTATTGAATGTCCAATTTTTAGGAAAATGATGCGGATGAACTTTGTAAATTGTTCTTTCATAGAGAGCTTCTTCCCAATTAGCAGCACTTGGGGGATAAATATATGTACTAGTATTTAGATAGTCTCTCTGATCTTTGCGAGGGTTTAGAGACTTTAATGTTACTCAAAGGTGAGTCTTTCGGTGCGTCAAACTCTGTATCAACAAATATAAAGCTGCTTTAAAATAAGATGAAACTCTTTATAGGAAAGCTTTGATGCATAAAATTACAGCATTAAAAATGTAATTTTAATTTTACATTAAGATGAGTTTACTTTAACGTGTATTACATTTCTTTCATGCTCTCTCTCTCTCCCTAGTGTCTCTAAGTTGTGTGGGGGCTGGTTCATTGTCTCTTGTTGAGCCTCTATTCCTAGTACTTATTATTTCTTAAACAATAAATGATGAGGACTAGAAAAATGCTATGTATTACAGCCAACATACAACTTATAAATGCATTGTGTTTTGTTTTGTCTTTATTCAATTTATTGGGGTGACTGGTCAACATGAACATACAGGTTTCAGGTGTGAGGGTTCTACGTTACAAGATCTGTATATTGCACCGTGTGCCCACCACCCAAAGTCTAATCTTCTCCTGTCACCATATATTAGGACCCCCTGCTCCCCCCAGTCCCTTCCCTCTGGTCATCACCACACTGCTGTTTGTGTTCACGAGTTTCAGTTTTTTGTCCCACATATGAGTGAAATCAGATGGGTCTTAACTTTTCCTGACTTATTTCACCTAGCGTAATGTTCTCAAGGTCCATCCACGTTGCTGCCAATGGCGCTACTTCTTCCTTTCTTACGGCTGAGTGGTATTCCATTGTGTATATGCACCACATCTTCTCTATCCAGTGCCTTCAAGCTGCTCACATGGGAACACTACCCTTCCTTGGTTTCCAACTGGGGGTAGATTCCTTTTCCATAATTATATCCTTTTGGCACTTCCACTGGAGGTTGGATGTGAGGTATTGTTACACCTCGAGGATCTAATTTTTCATTTCAATCCAGAAATCTGTCCCATGATGCCCATTCTGGAATTCAGGTTGAAGTGTTCTGGAAAACAGGTCATTAGCCATTCTAGTATCTGTGCTTCTGTCCACAGCCTGATTCCCAATGCAAATGGTGTATGTATTCTAGGGGTAGAGGTGAGCAATAGTGGCAAGGTCCCTGCAACAGCTTCTTTTCTTTGTCTCCCCAGAGAGCCCGGCGGGCTGTGCTGCCGCAGGAGCAGGAAGGATCGGGGGCTGGGCAACCGGTAACTGGTCTAATGAAGAAAGAAGGTAATGATCAGGCACCTTTTCACCCTCTTCTGTCAGACTCCAGAAAGGAAGGACCATGGCTGACTCCCCTGGCTGCCCTCATGACCATAAAATCCCTTTTTTTCCTACTAGAGTCCAGGGTTAGGCCTAGGAAAGGCAAATCAAGTCCTCTGCCCTGTGCAGGGGGTGTGAGGGGAGCGAGGAGACGAAGCATGGTCTCAGCTCCATGGTAAGAAGCCAGTTCTCGGCCTGTCTCACGGTGTGGCCTCCCAGCCGTGGTTTCCTCATCTGTACCACAGCATAACCACCTGCTGAGCTGCCACCAGGCTGGGAGCAAGGTGGGGAAGGAGGGAAGGAGCTTCGTGTAGTTGACAGTACTTACCAACAACTCACTCTGCAAACACGGAACCTGCTCCACCCCAGACTGTGTGCTGGGCACGGGAGTCACAGAGACACAGCACCCATGTCTTTTTGGAACTTCTGGTCAAGTGGGGGAGGCAGTCAGAGAAGAAGGTGATGGACCCAAAAGGGAGGGTCAGCTAAGAGGCTGGAGTAGCTCAGAGGAAGCAGGGGTGAGGAGATCAAGGACTTCGTGGAGGAAGGGGAATGCATGCTGTGTACAGGTATCCAGGTAGGGTTTTGCTCCATAAAGGCATGGGGGCGGGGCTCAGTGAAGAGGTCAGGCTGTCTGGCCTGGGTGCTGGTGAGTGTGTTATCAACTGCTACTATTACAGAGGCTTTGGGCAGACGGGGCCAACATGGGATGGTGGGTCTGTGGGTCGCTGGTAACTCCCCATGTTCTGGAGTGAAATGAGCATTGCTATTGGAGTCCACAGACATGATTTGGAACCTCAGCTCTGTGTGACCCTGGGCAAGTCACTTTACCTCTCAGCATCAGTGCCGTCGATAAAATTAGTTGGTAATCCTTCCTCGTGGTGCAGAGGGGAAGACTAATTGAGAGGACGCCTGGGAAGTGTCCAGCCTGCTGGCAGCTACACAGGCACTCAGTAGGTGCTGCTGTTCCGCCCCTCCCCAGATGCCTGCCAACTGGGCTACGCAGAAGGTCCTTGCCTGGGGATGGTCACGAGGTATTTCTATAACGGCTCCTCCATGGCCTGTGAGCCTTTCCAATATGGCGGCTGCCTAGGCAACGGCAACAACTTTGTCTCGGAGAAGGAGTGTCTGCAGACCTGCAGAAGCGTGGGTGAGTCCGGGCCCTTTGCCACTGCGCACGCTGCAGCTGGCAGCGCCGTCCTCCCGTCGGACCACCTGCCAACTGAACCGGTGGCTAAGAGGGGATGTTCCTGGGGTGGAAATCCAGGGCGAGTTTCCGGAAGTCGTAGGAAGTGCCATTTGCATATGGGTGACCGTAGGCAAGTGATTTCTTCTCATAGGCGCCAGCTCCCCAGTCTAGAAGGGGCGAGGTGGTCTAGGTGAGCAAGGTCCCCTGGTTCAGGTCCTGTGCCTCGGGTGAGCCAAGCGGAAGGATTACTAATGCGGTGCCTCCCTCCCCTCCACAGCGGCCTGCAACCTCCCCATCGTCACAGGGCCCTGCCGAGCCTTCATCCAGCTCTGGGCATTCGATGCCGTGCAGGGGAAGTGCATCCAATTTCAATATGGGGGCTGCCAAGGCAACGGCAACAAGTTCTACTCCGAGAAGGAGTGCAAGGAGTACTGCGGCGTCCCTGGCGACGGTAGGAGGCCCTGTGGGGTGCCGGGCTGGGCCAAGGGGCTGTTGGGGTCCAGGTGGGAGAGCCCTGTCGGCGAGGGTCTGGAGAGCTGAGCTCTGGACTCTGTACCAGGTGACCAGCCCACCCACTCCCAAGGCCTCCGCTTCCCGTCTTTCGTGTGGGGCCAAGCCCCAGGCCTCAGCCCAGCTGGGATGCGGTACCTGGGGTACCGGGTAGAGGCAGAGGGTGTGCAGGGCAGTCTGAGGAGCCTGGCAGAACTGGGCTGATCCTGGTGCTGCCACATTCGGGCCGGCCCCACTGGCCAGGTGCCGGTTTTAGCCTCAGTTTTCTCTTGTAAAATGGGACAAAGCACTGATTTATTTCCCAGACTTCCCAGTGCCTGGCACGGGTAGTGCTCAGCGAGCGGCACCTGTTACTGATAGTGACGGTGATGCTATCAGGAGGACAGGGCAGGTCCACCTCGCTTTACTGCGCTTCGCAGATATTACCACTCACTTTACTGTGGTGGTTGCTTTGCTACGCTGGTCTGGAACCCAACCCCAACCCCAACCGGCAATATCTCCGAGGTACGCCCGTGATAGCATTGCTGGAACAGCAGCCCTGTGAGGTTACTGTGCCTTATCTCCCCACCGGGAAACAGCACCTAAAGTCAGTCAGAAGAGGCTGAAAACCAGACCATCCTGTGGAATGCACTGTGGGGACATCTAGCCATTCAGCAAGCGGGAGTTTCTGGCCTCAGGCCCCAGCTCGGCCCGAGCTGCCTCTCCCCCTCCATGAGGCACCCCCTCCCAACTTTCCCTGCCCTGGACCCGCAGGCGAGCCCCACACCTACTCCCTGAGCCTCTGTGTCCACAGGAGATGAGGAACTGCTGCGCTTCAACAACTGACCGGTCCAAGGCCAGCGGTCCAGGCCAGAGGACGGCGGGGAGGCTGCGGGCCAGTGTCTGCCCCAGGGCCCCACATCGGGCAGGCCGGGCCGAGGGACCCGGGTTCAAATAAAAGCCAAATCATGGGCTCCTGAAGTTCCATGTCCTGACTGTTCATTGTCATCCTCGTGGAAGGAGATGGGGGCGGGAGAGGGAGACAAAGCTGGGCGGGCAGGAGCAGCCCAGCCGGCCCCAGGAGTGGGAAACGTGACAGAACCCCCTTCCCTGCGTGAAACTGGCTGTGCAAGTCATGACACATAGAGCACAGTTCCCTTTGCTCGACAACAGTATACAATAGGATTTTGCTTTCATAAAGCTAGAGGAGGGGGACGCTCTGGGTACTTGTTTCTGCAGGAGGTTTGACGGGTCACCAGCGACCCAGGGTCAGAATAAGGTGCCCTATGTGCCCGGGGGGGTCAGTGCCTGAAATCATTCCCGTTCTTCACCACATGGAACCCCCTCCAACGTTTTACTTTGGCCACAGCCACGTCCCCAGCACCAGCTGCCGGGAGCTGAAAAGCCTTGGGCTGTTTCCCACCAGGCGGAGTTTCCATCTCCTGGGAGCCCTTCCCCAGCCCTTTGCCCCAGGAGAATGTTCACTGACCTTCACGTTCTGTCCATGACGACCAGCAGGGCCCTGGGCCAGGACCCGCAGCCCTCGGTCCGGCTGGCTTCTCCTCCCTTCATAGGCCATCCAAGTGACTCAGGCACCCACCTGGCCCAAGAGCACGACTCTAGGAGCCTCCGATTGATACACTGAACATACAAACGTCCGGGTTATGAATCTCTCTTGCGAGCTCCCTCCACCCAGAGCCCGGAGGGATGCGGCTGCTGCTGAGGGAGGGGAGCCCAGCTTGCTGTCCTGAAGTGGAAGCTGCCGGGGCCGCAGAAGCCCAGGCAGGGCGGCTTCTCCTGGGGTGAGCCTGCTAAGGGGCCGCAGCTACTTCGGTCAAGGCTGCTTCTCATGCCATTAGCCCATGTGCTTAAGAGACTCATCAAGAAGAAGGGAGTTCCACACCCCTTGTTGAGGGGATGAACCCAGAGCAAGGATTTAGGTGCAGAGATCTTTGCAACCCTCTTGGTCAGACCACACAGAGTCCCCCTCCCACTGTCTCCTCCAAAGACTAGCGCTTGGGAGAGGGCTGTCCTGAGGGACACATCTGTGGTCACGGCCAGGGCTCTCTGGGCACAAGTGGGCGGAGTCTAGGCAGTGGGTTCAGGGGGAAGCGGCAAACAAATGTCATCACACCGTGTCCACACCTTGCTCCCCCCCCCCCCCCCCCCACACATGCCTCGAACAGCAGAGCCACCTGTGGCGCCTGAAGGTGCCACTCTGAAGAGTGACCTGAAGAACAAATGTTTAAACCAGAGGTGCCGCCACAGGTGCACAGGCAGGCCAGCTGGTGGATGGGGTGTGTGGCTTGGAAGGTGCTTTTTACAGCTCTGAAGGCGCCATTTAAAACCTGAGCGTCCATATACACACCTGGGCTTCTCAGTTCTCTAGGAAAGGAAGTCCCGGCAGCCCGGGGCCTGCACCCTGCTCGCCGAGGGGCGGGAGCTGACCTGAGCAGCCCCTAGCGACGGGGCCTCCTGAGGTTCACCAGCCCTGCCCAGGCCCAAGGCATCTGTCTCCCTATTTGCCAAAGCCTTCCCAGCAAAAGGTTCCCTTGGATCCTGACTCCATCCCTCAGGGGTGCGGTGGGGCTGAAGCACACCTGTGACCCCCGAGACCGGAGTCCGTGAGGCTCATCTCTGGAGGCCCCAGAATCCTTGTTGGCAAAGTGGCTGCCCTGGGGACTCCCTGGATTCTCAAGTGGTCCCTCATTTCTGATACCAAATAGATGTGGCTATTTTTAAACTTACTCTGTTTTAAACTTGAACATCCTGAGGCTGGCCCTTCTGCTGTAGGAAGGCTCTGGGCCAGGCCCTGGTCTTGTTGGCGATGCTCCAAGGTGTGGGGATTGTCAGCTGCAGCAGGACTCCGGGCTTGTTTTAGACCACATAGAAACTCCCCGGTTACATTCCGGCTGCTGGCCCAGGGCTGTCCAACAGGATCTTCACCCCCACAGGATGGCTCGGAGGGTGGGCTGATGCCCCCGAGAGGCCGGCCCAGCTGGAGCCCACATGAGCTGTTGAATGTGCGATTCGATGGAACGTGTTCAGCTGACCCAAGTAGCACACTGTCTTCAAGAGCAGCCTGCACCTGGTTGAAGGCAGGGATAGAGAGGCGCTGGGTGTCTGGCATCCGCCTTGACGGCGAGACGGCGATTTCACCTTTGCACAGGTGTTCCCGCTTGAAGGGCCATCACCCTTCCCGCCCATGCAGGCCGCAGCGTATCTTCCAATGGCATCTTTGTCCCTCTTGCCTTCGGCTGGACTCTATTCAATCGGAGCGTTGCTGTGCCTGTGCCTGTTGTGGGGCAAGTCCACCCAGCAGTTCACCGTGGAGGGCGCTTGCAGATGCCATCAGGAATTTGGCAAAGTCCCGGACACCCTTCCCCAGAAAACAAGATGTCACACACAACACATAACGCTGCGCACATCACGGGGGAGGCCAAGGCCACAGGCTCACAAGAGGCACAGGAACGACCGCTGGGCAAGGCGAACGTGGATCTTCCCCTTAGGCACTGGGTCTGTAGGACTCAGATGAAATCCATCCTTTCTTCCACGGGACCATGTCCATAAGCCAGGCCTGTAGGGACCCCGTCTCCCCTTGGCCATGTCCCTCCATCATTTATCAAACATTGGCTGAGCCGGGTCTGGTGCTGGAGGTAAGCGATGAGCTCAGATGAGTTAGCAGCGCTGGCCTTGGGCTGGACTCCAGCTGTGACCCCCAGGGGCCCTGCCCCTGATCCATCGCCACTCACCAGTAGATGCTCCTGACTGAATGACACAGCCCAACCCCACACCCAAAAAATACCACCACACACTGCCATCTCCTAAAGGTCGTTTTATTGTAAAACCATAAATACAACACCGACATGAAATCATTTAAGCAACTGATCCTCTCTAACCATTAAAAGGATGTCTTTTGCCTTGGCATCAACCAACCGGGAAATAATGTTGCAAGAATTCATGGGGTCGAGGGGTTCTGAATTCTGGGCGGGGGCTTTTGGCGATTTAAGGAACCGAGTGGAACCTTCCTCTTCTCCCTGGGAATGTCCCACTTTTGGACAAGAACAGACAGTTAAAAACAGCAACATTTAAACAGCTCAGTTTTAAATTTTATTACTTCGTAAAAATCTTTCCTTTTTCTGTTCCTTTCCTCCATGTGACATCAGTAAAAGTTTGAAACACCACGAAATTGATTTGGCTGTAAATGGAGAAACGGTACCAGGGACCCAAACAAAGTGAAACGGGAAAACCCAAAGGACAAACAGAAAACCCTTAAATACACCCACAAGTTTGGTCTCGGGGGCTCACACATCACACAAGAACCGTCAACGCAACCCCCATGCAATGCGACCCCTTGCAGAGCTGTCGGACCCACACCGACACAGGAGACCGCAAACATCTTTCGTTAATTAACACAGCAAGGGTGACACTAGGTAACTTTTTTTTTTTTTTAAATACAGTACATGGTACACAGGGTCCCAAGATGGCCCTGCATAAACCCCTCGTGGAGACTCGAGCCAAGCACTGGCTGTTTATAAAAATATTGTGTTGCTACAAAAGTATAAATTAATGCTACCGGTATTAAGAAATATTAAACACATAAAACTTATAAGGATTAAGAAAAATATTCATTAATACCTGTAGAAAACTCTGGCCTAAAAAAGATATTTTTTTGTGTTTGTTTTTTTGTAAATTTTTTTTTTGTATTTTTTTTTTTTAAGATGACTTGAGTTTCTTGCACTCGAAGAGAGAGACACAGTCAGATGTGCCTATGGTATTGCCTAGAACGTCTTCACTACTGAGAAAGGATGGGGGTGCGCGCACGTGGCTACGGAGTGGGGCCTGGGAGGGAGGGGCACCAAGGCTTTCTCAAGCTTTACCTGATGTGAAAGAATCACGGACGGGAAGCTGTGGGGGAAAGACAAAGGAAGGGTCAGAAGAGAACTGAAAATAATTTATCCTTTTTTAAAAAATATCTCTGCTTCGGGTGGTTGTACAAAATGATTTCCTGATGGTTGGGATCTGAATGGCCCTGGACACGTTCGTTGCCCGGTGGGTCTGAGCCTTCAGCCCCGCAGGTCCCTCTGTCTCTTGGGTGGTGAGTCCCAGCCCCAGGCCAGTCCACGAGCTGGCTCACTGCTTGGGAACCCAGCTGCCCTGGCTGGGCGGGAGGGGGTCCCCGGCAGGGACTGGCTGGCACCTGGGTTGTGGGAGGAGCCCCTCCTTCCAGCTGGTCTCAGACCCCCAGGTCTCTGCCAACCTGGACTTCAGGAAGCGCCACAGGGATCCCAGGCCCCTGAGGTTGCAGTCGAGGCTGGGCTGTGCCCCTGTAAGGAACTTTGGTTTGAAGAGTCAAGGTGCCCAGTGGATGGGTGGGACCCTCATGGGTCCAATGCTGACGCCCAACTGCAAACCCAGCAGATCCTCCTCGGAACAGGAGCTGAGTCTTTGAAGCGACACCGTGGTGGTGGCGGTGGGGGGCATGAATAGACCCACAGGATCTTCACCCTCATCCACGCGGGAGCAGGTGCCTTTTCGCAAGGAAAGCACAGGGCCCTTCGGGGAAAGGCAGGGCTGTACTGACTACGATCCTCAAACCCAAATGAGAGCCCAAGAGAAACAATCAAATCCTCCAGAAAATCCTGAGGGGGGAGCCAGGAGGGGAAGAGGAGAGGGAAAACACTGTATCATTGGTTCACCATAACTGGCCTAGCAAACATTAGCCACAGTGAAGAGAGGGCAGCCCCATCCCAAGACTCCCACCGGCCCAGGTGGATACCGGGGGCTGGGCCAGGGCAGGCAGGGCCGAGACAGGAGCCCTCACCTCCTGTCTCTGGGGACAGCCTGAGCCTTCCTTAGCCTCTTGGTTCTGTCTAAAGCAGCAGCCTGTCTAGGAGCCCTCCTGCAAGTACATCCCAGGGACACAGGCGTTGGCCTGTCCCCAAGGCCAGGGCGTAGCCATGAACTCAGTCCAGCTCCAGGGGGCAGGAGCCCACCCACGTGCCCTGTGCACTTCCTCTTCCATCTCTGCAAGCGTGTCCCTCATGATGACAATCTCCAGGTACTGTCCCCTCCAGGCCATTTCTCACGGGCCTGCCTTCTCCATCCGCATCCCAGCCTCATTTCTAACCTTCCTTGTGACCCGTGGAGCCCAGAGAGCATGCGCTGTATCCTTGACATCCCTCCAGGGGCCCACGCACTCTCCAAGGAGCCCGGTCCAAGTCCAGGAGGAGGCAGGCAGCCTCCCGCAAGCACGGGGGACTCCCAAAGACAGAAGCTTGGCGTCACAGTGGAAAACCTGCCCTGCAGTTTTCCTCTGGTGTTTCTTGAAAGCGAAGGACAGGAGCAAACCGGAGAGAATTCCTGGCAGCCTATGGACCTGGTGTAAGCAAACAGTCCTTCCTAGAATCCCAGAGACGCACACTTCTCAGTGTGCCATCAGGCCTTGCCCAGCCAACAGCCACTCTGAAGGCCAAGCATGAAGTTGCCAGGTGGACTGGAAGCCTTATAAGATCCTTGTGTTTCCTGGTTTCTAACTACCACCCGGGGGGAGGCCTGGCTGGCTGACCGAGGCGCAGGGAAGGCAGGACGTTGCTGGGACAGGAGCATCCTCTCACGATGACTGGGATGGCACCACTGTTCTTGGTGGAATCGAGACCCCTGGCTACTCCAAATCTGAGGACCACCCATGAGACACGGTCCTTTGGGCTTGGGTGGGGAAGCCAGCTGACCTCAGGGGAGGGGCCAACCCCGCAGTCTCCTCTTGGGTCCGTGTACGCCAAAGCAAAGACCCGTTCTGTCCTGGGAATCACGTGGCTTGAGACGAGTTGTGTCCAAGTCAGCAGGCGAACACCTGGAGCTGCCCAGAACATGACAGGAACGGTCCCTGGTCTGCCAGCTGCCGCGGGCCTGTGCTGGGAAGTCCCACAGCTGTCAGAGGAGTAGGAAGCAGGAGACAAGACCCTTCCGTAGGTCAAGGCCAGATCCTGTGCCTGGAGATTAAGTGGAAGAGCCCACCTCCATCCTTTGGCTGAGCTAGAATCTGAACAAGGTGGATATTGCTATAAATCGGGGGCCAGTGGCTGGACCTGTGAGATCTTTGGGTTGTGAAGTGGTTGGTGGCAGCAGGATCTGCACTATGGGAATTGCCTGCGTGAGGAAGCAGGCTGAGGGGTGACTCCAGTTTCTGGGGATCCAGAGGTTGCAAGAGAGAGATGGCTACCTGCCACCTCGTCACCACAGGTGGTTGAGGCAGCCCCAGGAGACAGCTTCAGCGCCTGTCCTAAGGACTAAACTCAGGTGGGACGGAAGACCAGATGACGACACGTGACTCGGTACCTAGAATTCAGTGAGACTCGAATTTCATTCTGGAGGGCTGACATCCCGTGGTCCAAAGACTCTAAATGCACATCTGGACTTGGTTTCTGATGGCTTTACAAGAAAATGAAACGCCTACTTCCTAACGAACTGGCCCCCAAACGGGCAACACCAGCACACAGCTCTGCTCCACGTAGAGGGAGGATGGGCCCAGGCCGTTTCCACCGACCACACCGTGGGAGCAGCTCTGACCCGCCTGGTGTGGCCCTTTCCCCGGCAGCAGAGCAGAGCAGGGCGGGAGGAACCTGGAGCTGGAGGTACTGTCACTCCTCAGCACCCCTGCAGCTACCTTCTGCAAGGCCAGGAGGCCCGGAGTCAGCCGAAACACTCTAGGAAGTGACATCAGGTGATCGGCCAGTGCGAATGGAGGCTCTTCTGATGGCGTGAGCCCAGCTGGAGACGTTGTGGGGAAACACCTAGCCCTTCTCTGGGTGAGGAAGTGGCAGGGCGGTGGCTGAGGCCATGGCTTGCTGGAGAGAACGTGCCCACAGCCCACTCTCATACATTTCAGTACATACAAGTCTCGGAGGGGTGGTTCTCATGAGGCAAAGTGAGCAGGCGAGGCCCCCGGGGACAGTGTTTCTATACCAGCGTCGCTTGCCCATCTGCCATGGGCCGGGAGAGGGCAGGGTACAGTGCTTTCTGTAGTCGAGGTATCTGGCAGTTGAGTAATGCTTTCTTAGGAGGAAGGGGTGGAGTCGCCCTCGCCCCCGAGACGGTAGAATGTGCCGTTGTGGAAGCCACGTGGCCGTCCTCAGCCTGAAGCCCTTGGTGTCGCCATCTCCATGCCACAGCCATGGGCACCGGAGGACGGGAGACCACCAGCACTTTATTCACAGAGAGGAGGGCCGGGGCTCATCACTGATCCTGACGGAACCACCTCTTATAGGGGTGTGGGGTGGGCGGGAGGGGCCACCCTCGGCGTTTGGACTGAGTGTGTAGAAACGGAACTGCTTGTGGAGAGAAAAGCCTACAGACATCTTTCACAGCATCAAGTTCAGTGTGGCCTCATGCCATTCCACCCTCCATACATCAATCGTTTGGCCCACAAGGCACCGTGCGCAACTACTGTACTGGAAGGAGGGCTGAGGCTCGAGTGCGGGGACCCCAGGGCTGTGGGCAACAGACCCACCGGAACCCCTGGGGTCCTGGGGAGGGGTGGGGAGGCGGTGGGTCTGAGGTGTGACGGACGTGAACGTGGGTCAGCTCAGGAGTCCCTGCTGAGTCCCTGCTGAGCTGAGAGTGTCAGTGACGTGGTGAGTAGTGTAATGCACTCTGGGTATCAGTCGGACATTCGCAGTACCGGACGCGGCGAGCCAGGAGGGCGGGCCTCCGCTTACATTCAGGAGAAATCCTAACCCACAGGCGTCCCTATGGCTTCCACCGAACCCCACCCCCGTGGAACCTGTGACTCCAACCCCACTCCTGGTCTCCACACAGCACAGACCAGGGCGGGGTCCTGGCTGTTCAAATACACAGACACGGGACCGTACAGGGAAGGCTAATGGAAACCGGAGGAGAGCGAATAGACCACTGAGATGAGCTCGTTTACAGTGTGACTTGAGGAACAAAAATGGCAGTTAAAAAAAAACAAACAACCTTCAAAACATAAGTTATAGACATTCAGTGCCTCCTAGCAGAGTCTAAATCAAATTTGAAAAAAAAACGAAACCAAAAGATAAAAACGGCTAAAATGTTAGGAAGAGAATTAAGGAGTGGAGATAGTATCTATACTTCTCTGAAATATGTCTTTTTTTTTCTTCTTCTTCTTATATTAAAAAGCCAAAAGTCAGCTTTCTATTCTTAAAGTCTCCTTTCCTGATCTGGGGAGATAGATAGGTGTGTTTCTAAGGCGGCTGCCCCGTGACACCCGCAGTGTCTCGAAGGCAGCTGCTCAATGCCCTGAAGGTGAACAAGAACAAAGTCCAGTGCAGAAACTGTCCATCTGATGCGGTTTGGAGAATCCATCGCGGGGCAGCCGGGGAGGGCGCCTTAGGGTGAGGAGGGCTGCGGGGAGGGGGCATGAAGGGAAAAGGGGGACCACGGGCTGAGGACAGAGCGCGTCAAGTCACTTCAGATCTCAGCTGCCTGAACACCTTGCAACATCGGCGTCCTACCAACCTGCGCACCTGAAAACCAAGTCTTCGAAGCCCCTTGGCAAGGAAACGAGGTGAGCGTTTTCCCTCTTTCCCACACCCTCGGCTTTCCCGACACGCCCAGTTTAATGCACACGCGCCCACGAGCAGGCGTGGACATGCACCAGGGTAGTATGTGTGTGCACGCGTGTGCGAAGCTACGGCGGCCACGCAGATGAGCAAAAGAGCCTCGTGCCCCGCACCCACGGTCCGCGTGCTGGGACACACACATGCACACACACACTGGAAAAAGCACTTAAGTTTCCAGGGGGCGTTTAGAATGAGGTCCACAGTGTTTAGAACTTAAACTCCTTTCCTTTGTTGGCGACAGTGTTGTGTAAATTTTTTTTCCCCTACCGTTCCCTCTCGCTTTTCTTTTGTTCGGAAGTAGAAGTCTTAAAGCATGTTGGACTTCAGAAACATGAGTTTGTTCATATCTTCGGGGCTGAGCAGTCGCCTCCTTTTGATGAGAAGCGCCTGCTCACACATACTGACACACCCACTCCTGGCCCCCACGGCCGGGACCGCGAGGAGCCAGAAGGCCAGCTTGGCGAGTTTCGTGTGCTTCTGGGTCACGCACGACCAGTACTGGAAGAGATCGGGGGTGGCCTGGAAGAGGGGCTCCTGCAGGTAATCGTACACCTCGTTCTTGCCCAGCCGATCGTCTTCCTGAGCGGCGGGGTTCTCGCCGGCGGCGGAGCGAGGCTTCTTGGCGGCGGGCTCGAAGTCGGCCTCCTCCGTCCAGGACTCCTTGACCTCGTTGATGAGCTCGCACACCTTGCCGATGATTTCCTCGTGCTGATACGGCGGGACCGGCCGCAGCTTCTGCTGTGGGTCCAGGATCATGGCCACCTTATGCGCCGGGTGCACCTTGAAGTTCTCCTTGAGGGCTTCCAGGAAGAGGTGGCACAGCTTGCTGACCGTGCCCGCGTCGTTGGCCTTGGCCGTGAACAGCTTCTCCAGCCGGACGTAGGTGGGCAGCACCAGCTGCAGGGTGGGCTGGCTCTCGTTGCTCAGCTCGATGACCGCTTGCTTCACCGGCGTCAGGATGGCTGCCAGGTTGCTGAGCAGGTGCTTGTTGAGGCTCTGGATGAGGTTCATCTTCTTGGCCCGGCTGTAGAACTCGCAGATCTGCTCGTAGCGCTCGTGCACCAGCAGCAGCGAGTCCGTGACCGAGTTCCAGCAGGGCGGCGGCGAGGTCTCCTCCAGCGACCCGAAGGTCTCCTTGGCGAGGCCGGTGGAGCCCGCCAGGTCCTCGCACACGTTGAGCAGCTCGATGACCTCGTGCATGCTGCGGGCCTGCAGCGTCCGCTTGCTCAGCACGCTCTGCACCACCGAGTTCAAGGCACAGGCGGAGCAGCGGAGGCACATGCCGGCCTTGGAGAAGGCGGACGCGCTCACCCGGCAGTCCGTCACGTACACTGTCCTGATCTCCGACATCACGAACTCTGACAGCACGTTCTGCACCCAGTGGTGCACCAGGTCGCCGCTGTCACGGATGTCCGCTCCCTTCACGCCCAGCACGTAGCTCTTGATGTGGTTGCCCTCGGCCTGGTAGGCAGTGAGGATGTAGCAGGAGTCGGGGCCCACGCTCTGCGAGTGACAGGTGACGCCGATGCCCAGGCAGGCGTTGCTGCCCAAGGCACACGTCACCTTCACCTTCACCTGGTTATACATGCGCGGCAGGTGCTTCAGCGCCAGCGTGTTGAAGTTGCCCAGGATCTCGGTGACGGAGAAAGCCCCGTAGCGGGCGCCACTGTCCACCAGCGTCTGGGCCAGTTTCAGGAACTCCTTCCCACTCACCACGCTCAGCGCTCCCAGGTCAGCGCACATGACCCGCAGCAGCCGCTCTGCGATGTTCTGCCGCTCCTTCTCAGGGATGATGCTGTTGGATGTTAAACCGCTGGCCGTGGCTGGCAGGGGACACAAGGAGAGATCGGATTAACCCTGGCATCTGAGGCTCCTGGATCCAGCAGCAGACTAATACTCCCAGCACCTATTATTAGGAATGATGAACAGATTTCATCTTGCACAGAAATTACATGAGTTTCACGAGAATGACATTCTATGACTGATGGATTGGTAATGCCTGCCATGGGCGTGGGAATACAACATAGTGGTATGTGTGCAGCATACTTGCTGCATGGGCCAGTCACCTAGACTTTTGAAGCCAACTAGTCTAACCCAGTGGTCGGCAAACTGCGGCTCACGAGCCACATGCGGCTCTTTGGCCCCTTGAGTGTGGCTCTTCTACAAAATACCACGTGCAGGCGCGCATGTACAGTGCGATTGAAACTTCGTGGCCCATGCGCAGAAGTCGGTATTTTGTGGAAGAGCCACACTCAAGGGGCCAAAGAGCCGCATGTGGCTCGTGAGCCGCAGTTTGCCGACCACTGGTCTAACCTCTTCCTCAGTATAGCAATGGCTGCTAATAAAGGCACCTCCAGTGAATAAAATGCAGGAGGCCAACATGTCAGGAAAGAGCGACCAACAGAAATTGTGAGAGTGGATTCCAGTTCTGATCCTGTCACTAATTTGGACTCTGATCACACACAGGTCACCTCCTCTCCCCGGGCCTCCTTTTGCCGATCCTATGAGGTCTTACTAGTAAGTGTGCAAGTGCTTTGGAAACTGTTATGCGTGGCCTTCCGTCACCCTGGGAGGCACAGGTGGTGGGGATGCGGGCAGAAGAGAGCAACCTGAGCTGGGGCTGGAGGTGCGTGGGGCAGACCTCCGTGAGGCCCCCGGCTCCAGCCTGGAAGAGACCTACTGTTGTTGGCGCTGTTCCTCTGGGCCTGGGGTTTCCACTTCTCTTCCACAACAGCAGGTGGCGATCGGGACTGGTTAGAGGTGATGTTGTTCTCGTTGTCCGCTGTGGGCACAAAGGGGACGGTGTGTCACCCTACAGTATCAGAGGCCTGTGGACTAACAGACGAGAGCTAGAGCGTGGCGGGGGAGGGCACGCATGCCCCCTGGGACTGAGGCCTGGAGCCAAATCCTGGCTCCTCCTCACACAGCTATCATAGATTTGCGAAGCCTCATTTTCATCATTTGGAAAAACGAAGATAATCACACAGATGGGACACAACTGCTGGAAGGACTAACAAGAGAAAACGCAGGGAAAGGGCGGAGCACAGTGCCCGGCGTGGAGTAAGTGCTGAGCAAATGGGGATATCACAGCACGGGTCTGGCTGGGAGCTCCCCCGACCCCACACAACCCCAGAATTCTAGCTCTGAAATGGGGGAGGGGTTCCAGTTACACCCTAAAGCATTTCACACTCTCACATCTTCAAAGTGGTTTTTTTGGACTTTTCAGTATATTTATTAGAAATTTAGTTTATGAGGCTGGCATTACCCTGATCCAAAACCAGAGAAAAACATTACAAGAAAAGGAACGACAACCAATATCCCTCGTAAACATATACACAAAAGTCCTTAACAAAATATTAGCAAGCTAGAGACAGTAATATATAGAAAGAATAGCATATTATGACTATGGAGTTTATCCCAGAAATCCAAGTTGAGGTTAATAATTGAAAACCAATCAGTGTAATGCCCTATACTAAGTGGAAAGAAACAAATAGAAAAATCATCCCCACAGATATAAATGCACATTAAAATATGACAAAATTCAACAGCCACCCACGACACAAACTCTGACCAAACTAGGAAGAGAAGGAAACATCTACTTGGTAAAGGGGGTCAGAGAAAAGTTGATGGAAATAAAAAGGATTATAAAGAAATACTACAAACAGTAGTAGTCCAACAGATTAGATAACCTGAATGAAAGAGACATATTCTTAGAAAGACATAAACTACCAAAAATGATTCAAAAACAGAAAATCTGAATAGTGGTTTCCAGGGCTGGGATGCAGGGAGGGCCTGGCTGCACGGAGGCAGGAGGGGGCGTTCTGGGTGGATGGTTAACCCGTCCAACTGTGCTCTTAAACTTGTGAACTTCACTTCTGTAAATTACATCCCAATGAATCTGACTTTAAAACGACTGAAGAGAAACCCATGAAAAGAGTAACAGTGGTTAACTTTGAGATTAGGGCCCGTTCTTCATTTCCCAATTTCTCTGCATTTTCCCAATTTCTTCTAATGAACAGATCTTACATTTAAAAAGGGGGAGCGCAGATTTTAAAACGGAAACCGGCAGCCTTTCTTGTGGACGTTCTCCACTAGAGCACAGGGATCTGAAAGGCCTGGGTTTGAACCCAGCTCTGCCAGGGCTGTGGGTGTGACCATGAGTTCGTCACTTCTGGGCCTCAGTTTCCCCTCCTCCCTCCAAACGCTGGGGCTGGACAAGCTGCAGGGTCATTCCCTCACTCTGACTGTCCGCAGGACTTGGAATCCAAATTACTCAGCCTAGCATTAGATAACACTGTCTGGTATCGGTTGAATAAAATAAAATGTTCCCCTCCATATCTCAGATGCTGCTACTGCATGGGTGAGGTACTGTAAGTGCTCTGTAAAAAGGCTTGATTGATAGCTTGAGCTGGACATAACATTTACTCTGTGTGGCTATCCCTATGTACACACACACACACACACACACACACACACACACACTCACGTCTGGTCTACAAAGGGCTGGGTGCAAAGCTGGAATAAAGGCTGTCCCCCAGGGAGGGAGCAATGCAGGAAGGAGGAAGAGCATGGGGCTAACATCGTGACTGCATAGCCTCGGACCTCTCAGTATATTTATCAGTAAGTTACTAAGCCATTTTGTGCCTCCATTTCCTTATCTGTAAAGTGGAGCTAATACAGACACTTAACTCAGAGGGATGTTCTGAGGTTAAGTGAGCTAATATGTGTGAAACTCTTAGGATAAGTCCTGGCACCAAGGAAGAGCTCAAATTATGTTAGTAGCTGTTTGGACCTGTGATTCTGTTGTCTGAGCCTCAGTTTTCCTCATCTGTACAATGGGATCCTGTCCGCCGGCGAACAGGCTTGTTCAGATCGAATGAAATAACCTCCTGACACATACTGATCGCTCACTAAATGTTAGCTGTCTTTAGTATTATTGCTGACAAACAGGCTCCTGACCTATTACAAAGCAAGACAGGTTTCCCTCCGGCACCGACAGGAAGTTTATTAGCGGGAATTACCCTGTGCCGTTCAGCAGCCTCTTAATGAGATTGGTGTTATTCGAGGCTGATCCCCCTTCGCAGCAGCGCTGTGAACTGCGCAGATCATGACGTTTAATTTCTCTCTATGGAGTCAATCCTTTAATCCCGACGCAGCCTGGCTGGGATTCAGCCTGGCTTTGCACCAGATTGCCTCCCCGCATTCTCTGCCAGCACTGGACCAGAACAAAGCGGCCCAAAGCTCTTCATGGAAAAAGTGGAGGTGCTGGAGGAGGTGGGGCCACCAGGAGGTGCAGCCTTGATTTGCATTTTAATGGCCTCTGCCCAACTGCCTGAGGCACAGCCTAGCACGGGCTCCAGACTCTTCCCTAATTAGCCTCAGCTTCCAGAGGCGGGCAGAGCAGGTGGAGGGTTGGGGCTTCAGAGGAGGGAGGGAGGGAGTGAGTTGTGGGAGTTTCAGGCCTTGGTCCCTGAGCAGCCTTCAACTGCTGTCACCATTCCCCGTAAGGTCAAGTCTAAATGCCCCGAGCTGGCATTCAAGGCCTTCCCTGGGCCTCCCCTCTCGCATCTCTGGCCTCTGATCATTCTGACCTCAAGCCACACTCAACATCCACCTTCACATCTCCCTGGTCAGTTTCTATTTGGCCTTTAGGTTTAACATGGGAGCCACAACCTTCCAGAAGCCTGCTTCAGCCCCGTGCCACTCTCTCTGTGCTCTCCCGAGCCTGCTGTCCCCCTAACCCCACCCCGTGTTATAACCGATGGACGGGGGATCCTGAAGGCAGGTCCCATGTCCTGTGACCATTTCCTGGGAAAGAGGGGCCTTCCCTGGTCTGGGGGCGGGGGGTGCTGCAGCGCCCCATGGGCTGTGGGGCGCTTACCCGCATGGGACTGCATGTGCTCCAGCAGGTTGTTGTAGAACTGGAACTGGATCCCACAGGCGCCACACGTGTAGGGTTCTGCGGGGAGAAATGAAGCAGCCGTTTTAGGGGCAGAAGGACCCTGGGCGTCTTCCTGCTGGGCTGTGGGCGGATTTGGAACTGGGAACCCCAACACACACTGGGGCTCTGGGCCCAGCCTGACCTGCCCCTGGCACTAACGGGTGAGCGGGAGGCTGGGGGCAGGAAGGATCGATGGGGAGAGGAGGACGTGCAGCCTCAGAGAGCCTCTGATGCGGTCAGGCAGCCATTTACTGAGTGCTTACTGTGTGCCAGGCACTGTTCTGGGCACTGGGGGTGGGCTGGAGAGGGACAGGAGCTCTCAGGCAGAGACCGGGTCTTACTGGTTCCACGGCCCATCTGCCTGCCTGTAGAAGCACACGGGCATCACTGTTTGCTGAGCAAACGGATGAGTTAATGTATGAATGAACCCCCAAACAAGGCAATGCACACAGAGGAAAGGGAGAGGAAGAAGAAACAGGGTAAGAAGTGGAGAAAGCCACAGAAAAGCAAGAAGTGGGATAAGACGCTGAAAGGGCAGAGAAGAGGCGGAGGGCGGGAGAGAAGGGAGGATGACAGCACACAGGACCGGGACAAGTGGGCCTTTATCTTTCATCTCTGCTCCCAATACTCGAGTCAATGCCCAAGAGATGAAAGGAGGAAGAAGGGGTACAAAGGAGGGAAGGATAAAGAGAGGAGGAGGATGGCTGACATGGGGAGGTCTGTGTTCCTGCAGGGCTGGGGGACAGAGGCGGCTGCCATGTCGGGGGTCTGCCTCGTCCCCCGTGCCCACTCCTCCACCCGCCTGGGCTGGGCACTCCTCCTGCGCTACTAGCTGCCCTGTCTGCCTGGGAGGGCGGCCCAAGGTCAGATGCTCTGGGGAGGCCCTGAGAGCTGGGGCCACTCAGTTCATTCCCTGCCCGGCCTCGCCCTCTCCAGCCCCCCCATGGGACCACCACTTACTCTGTAGGAGAGGGAAAGTATTGGAAATCAGGGGACTTGCAGTTTCTGCAAAAGAGAAACAGTTTAGCTAGGTCTCCTCCAGGTCTGGTGCTCTCAGATGACCGTCATTATTTCCATTCTTAACAAGTGGTGAGTCAGATGGGGCCCTCAGAGGAGGGGAGCACAGAGCCAGGCTCAGATTCCGGGGTGGGGCTGGGACACTGGGCAGGGCAATGGCAGCCAGGGCCACCCCTCTAGGACACACTCAGCTCTCCAAAGGTGAGCCCACAGAGCACAATGAGAATGTCCACGCTCGGCTTCAGGACGGGAAGCTGCTTGAGGTCCTGGACCCGAGGGCTGTGCTTGTGAGGTGCTCTGCCTGCTGGAACCTGCCCCACGCTGCCTGGTGCTGCCAGGTGAGCCTCAGACGCAGGAGGTGGCAGTGCAGGTGGACTCGGCTGGGGTACCGGCTCCACCGCTTACAAGCTGGGGACCTGGGGCAACTACCCCCTTCTCCTGAGCCTCCGTTTTCTCACCCCAAAACGAAAGATAACCCTCCTGCTGGGGCTGGGGCACACGTGAAGACAGGAAAGACACACACAGCTCTGAACACACGCCAGGCACAGAGTAAGCGCTCAGTAAACGGTGTCTGCCCTTCACACAGCCCGTTCCCAGTTCTGAGTATCGGCTCTAGTGGAAGGAGAGGCAGGGGTGCAGCCTGGCCGGCTCAGAGCAGAGACCCCCGGGAGACCAGGGCTCCGGTCCTGATGCTTAGTCCTGTGTGGCCTTGGGCAAAACGCCACCACATTTAAGCCCATTTGTTGGAGATGCTGCCGGATTACATTTTTCAAAAGGGTTGAAGCAGCTTGGAAAAGCTGACACGTTCTCGACAGTGAAGGGGTCCTGTCAGGGCCCCCCCGCACCCCTCACTCCCTTGCTCAGGGCACTCGTAGAATAACTGGGTTTACTTAAAGAGATTACGTGAGTGGGTACGTAATCTCTGCAGGACACTTGCTGAATGCTCACCACGCAGGGACGTCTGTGCTATCCCCACTTTACAGCGGAGGAGAATTGAGAGTCCAGGCCCAGCCACCAGCTCACAGGGGGCGGAGCTGAGGTTCGAACCTTGACTGGAGACAGAGCTGGGGCTCAGATTCCTACGCAGAAGCCTCCACATTCAAATCTGTGTTCCCAACTGTTTCATGAAGCCCCTGATGGACAGTCAGGCTGCGCCCAGCATCTGTCTATACACAAGCAGTGCCCAGGATATGCGGGCACAAGCGGAAACCAAGCATGACGAACGGAACCTCAACTGTGCGAGAGAGGGGGTGCCTTGCTTTACTACAACCAGTGTCAGAACTCTTTCCCCTTCCCTTCCTGCCCTGGCTGCCACTGTGCAGACCGCCTGGCTATGCCTTTTCGGACAGAGGCCGCTGGTGACCCCCCCACGGCCCCGCCAGGCTGACCCAGGTCTATCTGGGGAGAGGGGCCTTGGGCAGCTCTGTTCTAAGGCCCTCTCTGTTCTGCCAGGGTCTTGGCGGAGGCAGCCACCAGGGGGCGCCAAAACACTGCCAGGAACCTCAGGCAAACCTTGGGCAGGCAGGGGCTGGAAGGGAACCGTTGGATGGTTCCTGGTCCAAAGTGGAGCCAGAACTCTGGGCCTCTGGCTTACCAGGCCACAGCTCTCTCTGCTGTAACCCCATTGCCTCTGCTGGAAAGAAAATGGCTATGATGTTTTCCCTAAAAGCACAGAAATGGCTCTTTTAGGCTCAGCTCTCTGGGGCCATGCGTGTAGATGTTGCAGGCTATGGGGTAGGGGGAGTTCCTCTCTCCATGGGGAAGAGACAGGAAGGGCCACAGTCCCCCGAGATGCCCCCAAGGCCCAGAAGGAGGCCCCTGGAAGACTAGGCCCCTGGGTTTCTGCCCAGCCCTGGCCTCCTAATTCTCAGCCCCCTCCCAACACCACCAGCATGCATCATGGAGACCCCAGCCTACAGGGGGGAGAAGACAGAGCCGGCAACCTCAGCACAGGGCACCTGGCACAGGGCACACTCACCGCTGGAGTTTTGGGAACTGCTGTTCGTCTCTTCAAAGTGGTTTTGTGCTTTGCTCTCTACTCTCCGACTGAAAGCGCTTTCTGCTGGTGGGGACAGGAGAGAGCGAGAGAAAACGACGGTGATTGATCAGCACTAGGTCCAAAGGTGGGGGGCATGCCAGAGGCGGCTCAGAGGCTGGGGTACCTGGGCTTGGTGTTGGGGGGATCAGCACAATGAGGAGCTCCAGGATCCCCAATCAGAGCCCCAGCTCCTCAAGCTCACCTGAGCTGCCTGATACCTTGTCAGGGCCCCAGGAGACCCTCCGGACAGTGCCCAGAGGGGGTGGAGGTCCAGGCCTAGGGGCATGTGTGGGTGACCTGTCCAGGAGCTCGCAGATGAAATCCAGCCAAGTGAGCAGACGGCAAATGGGCCTGGGTCTCCCATCTGGGCCCCTGGGCAGCCACACGTGTGCCACTAAGTAATGTGGACCTGCCCCCACTGGTCCCTCTGCCAGATTCCACTGTCTCAGGCCCCACAACGGAGCAGGGAGGAGGGCAGACAGTCTCCTGAAGGCAGTTCTGACAGAGCAGGTGGGCCGGACAGCTCCACATGCCCAGTGGTCCCTGGGTGGCAAGGAGCGCCTTGGAGAGAAGGTGTGCCAGGCAGAGCGGGGGCAGTCCACACCCCAGGAGGCCAAAGACCAGGTGAGATCCGGTCAGAGTTCACACAGGTTAAGGACTAGCTCCTGATGATTTCTTGGGCATCTCCACTTACAGGCGGCACTTTTCTTAGTGGCTCACCTTCTCCCAGGCGCTGCCTGTAACCCCAGAGGCAGAGACAGAATCCAAGGTGGAAAATACCAATTTAGTGCCCACCTCTCCCCGACCTGCAGAAGGTACTGAAACTGAATATCTGGCTGGGAGGGGACTCGGCTTTTCCAAGCAGCTCTTGGCACAGTGGGTGCTGGATGCTCCAGGAGACAAAGACTTCTGGGAACAAGTCACGGGGTGGAACAGCCGACCCAGCCCCTTTCTTAGGGAGAAGAACTTGCACCAGCGTGTCAAAGGCTCGGAGAAGTTCACTGAAAAGAGGCCCATCTGGCTTTATTTAATCCAGCCTTTCCAAATGGATTTGGCCACTGAAGCCTACTTTTCTTTAAATATATTTTTATAAATTTTAGAGAGGAAGGGAGAGGGAGAGAGAGAAACATCAATGATGAGAGAATCACTGATCAGCTGCCTCCTGCATGCCCCCTACTGGGGATCGAGACAGCAACCTGGGCATGTGTCCTTGATTGGAATCGAACCCGGGACCCTTCAGTCCACAGGCCGACACTGTATCCACTGAGCCAAAGAAGCTAAGGCGCCTATTTTTAAATTAGTGGGTAGATTCCTTACTATTCCTCAAAAAATGGTGGTTTCAGGAACTCACTGTGGGAAATACCACTGTCACCCAGTCCACCCCATGCCAGAAGGGCTCTCGCTCAGGCTGCGGGGGCCGGGGTTCTGGGCGATCATCGGGTGACAGGAAAGGAAGCCAGAGGCAGCTCCTACAGGTCCTGCTCAATGCCCCATTCCCTGGCCCCAATGACGTCTCCTTTCCGCAGAGGCTGTCCTCATCACAAAGATAACCCTCTCTTCAAAACGCACCCACAGAATGCCTGGGCCGAGAGCTCCATACCTGCCTCCTTCAAGAAGTCATCTTTAAATGGGCAAAGAAAGCCCCTCAGTTCTTTGCCTAGGGGGAAGGGGGGGTGCACTCATTTACTGAGCACCTACTATGTGCCAGGCACTGATTTAGATGCCTTACACCCAGGGTCTCTCTTAATTCTCCCAATAGCTCTGTGAGGTCCACATCGTCACTTCCATTTTATAGGTGAAACACACACACACACCCACAGGAAAGTGAGGCTGTCAATTCCCGGGGCTGAACAGCTGTTAATCCCCTAAGACGGCAGAATGAGACTTCATTCTCGCACAGGCAGACGCTTCCTTTTTCACAAGCGAGTCCTTTCTGCATCTTAATCCTCGTGTGTGCAGGGGGGTGGCGACCCTTCTGCGGGGGACTTTCATGCAGCCTCGCCACTTTATTGGCAGAACTTAGGACAACTGAGGTCATGATTCGTTTCCCAGTACTCAGCTCATAATGCAAATTTTGATCAGCTCTCCCTGCCATGGGCACCTCTGGCCACAAACCAGTGGGCTGTACGGTGGGTGAGGTCCCAGGCACAGGCCCGCACCTCCGCCCAGGAAGAGCTGCCTGTTCCAACACGGTGAAGGCGGTGACCACTTCCAGCTCTAGCGTCCTCTGCTCTGCCCACCTGCTCTGCCCCCAACCCCAAATCTCCCAGGTCACATAAAGGCAGCTAGGAGCAAGTCCCAGAGCTTCCGGGATGCTTCTTTGGGGACACTGAGGTCCGGGAGCTGCCACAGACCAAACAGCCCCTTCCAGGCAGCTCCCTGCAGGAACTACAGACATAGAAACTCCCAGCCATAAGGTCAAGAATAAAAAGCAAACATTTGAAACTTGTGATCCCATTAGTTAGCTGAGCCAACATCTACCACCGACGAGCCCATGAGGACCAGCCTGTTTCTAGAAAAATACAACGGCTATCGGCTTTTCTCAACGCAGTACCTGAAAATCCATGATGTTCAAGGTTGATTACGTACTTACTCTCCTTCCGGGACATCTAAACTTCATAAGCCTATCTTCACACATTTCTGACGAACACATCCTTGCCCCACAGTAGCCCACGAACCAAAGAATAATGGCAAACACAACTCGTCAACGCCAGTCCAACCTACTGGGTCACTGAACTCAGTCTGATCACTTGTACGTTTAATGTATGGCTGTGGGCCTCTTGACAGCAACTGAAAGGTCCCTGATCCCAGAAGGACCACATCATCACTCTACCCTACGCCGCAGGCAGGCGCCCAAGGCTCGTTCCATCTGGGCATGAGTCAGGGTTCCTGATAACTGGCGCTCAGCACACATGCGTCTTATCCGTTTTCCTGGGAGAAATACCGCTGTTCACCCTTCAGGGGTCGGAGCCCCTCTCCGCCTGGACCAGAAAACACTGGAGGTGGCATCCATTGGTTTCCTGCTGGGCCACGGCCCAGGGAGCGATTTCACGAGTAGCGGGAGGCCAAGAGCACAGAGCTTCTGGCCAGCCACTCTGCTTCGAGGAGAACAGCTCTTCGTAGAAATGAGTTCTTAGGCTGGGTTTTCTGAAAGATGGGGGATGCAAACGCATGCCGAGGGGTTTCCAGGCAGGGGACATGAATGGATGAACTGGGCTGCATGTCAGACAGACAACAGTGTGATCACAATGAGAAATGGCACCCGCCACATGGCTCTTGTGTTGGGTAGGCAGGAGGGAGTGGTGGGGACTGTGGAAAACTGGAGAGCACATGCTCTATGAATACAGGAGGCAGCTGTGGCTCAGCCCAAGCCAATTGTTGCACTGCAGGAAAGTGGGCCCGGAACGGCCGGAGCTGACTTGTCCATGTCAGCTGGAGATCAAGTTTCACATAAAACCTCCTAGCGTCCAAATATTGGCAAGGAATTTAAAGCAGTTTTTAAAAACACCGTAGGCCATGACGTGGGGGGAAATATTCTCTTGTTTAAAAAGAGAAAACTTTGCAAACTCTCTGTGCAACCCTCTGGTTTAGGATAAGAAAACTTAGACTCAGAGAGGTTAGTTAGGCGGCTCGCCAAGGTCTCAGGGCCCGTCAGAGGCAGAGCCAGGACCCAGATTCGTCCCACAGAACTAGGGGACCCCCACTCTTGCTCTTGCAAGGGAACAATGACCCCGGGCACAGCTGTGGCAGGTGGGGGGAGGGGGGATGGAGGGAGTGTAGGGTGACATAGGCCGTTGGTACCTGAGGTTGCCTTGTTGGCTGGAGATCCTGAATTTGGAGTGCGGAACGTCTGGGTTTGGGTGGCTGGAGGGGTGCGGTGTAAGAGGGTGGAGCATCGGACCACGGAGGCCGAAGCTTTTTTCCCCGACTGGTTCGTCTGGGTCTTCGCGGCCACGAAGCGTGGAGACGGGGAGACCTCTGGATGTGAACACTCAGAGCCCGTGTCTGGATCGTCCGGCGGCTCCCACCCGGGGGCGGTACCTGAGAGGGTCACGCTCTCAGTCCCCAGGAGCCCTCGGAGCTGGCGGAGTAAGTGGCCTCTCGAGCCACCGCCCCCACCTCCGCCCCCCATGCTCGAGGGTAGACACCTCTTCTCAGTCCACAGAAAGCAAAGACTCTCGCTCCTACCTGGAGCCTGAGAAAAACCTGGGAGTCTAGAACCTTCCCCAGCTTCTCCTCGAGGCAAGCCTATCTCACATGTTACCCTCCAACGGCCCCAGGGCATAGGCAGACAGGGATGCAGGGGCTCAGAGAGGGACAGGCACCACTCCGGGGTCACAGAGCAGTTTGGGATGGAGCCACGATGCATTTCCCAGGCTCCTAGCTCATTTCATGCCATAGTTTACACCATGTGTTGACCTTCTCACGTGAAATGCTGTCCAGCTGGAATTCCTACCTGGGCTTTCACAGAGAAAGGAAGAGCTTTAGAGAGACTGGCTAATTGCTCTTATAAGAAACATAGGAGATATTTACACATAAAAGAGATATTTAAAAATAAGAGAACACAGGGATCTCTCCTTCCTGTGAAGCTGAAAGTTTAAGTGGAGCAGAACATCCAGAGAATATATGGATTTGAAAAAAGTAACCATGCCACTGAGAGGGAGAAGAGACCGGGGCCCAGGGGTGGGGGCAGGGAACTCCCTGAAGGAGGGGGGAGTGGAAATGAATTTGCGGCAAGTGGGCCTCGTGGGACCAAAGGCTGGAGGTGGAAATGAGAGGGAGATGGGATCTACAGGGTCTAATCTGGGAAATCCTCCTTGTGGGTGTTAGTCTGAGGAAGAGAACTGGAGACCTCACACTTCTGGGCCACGATGGAGCCGCTGGTGTAGGACCAGCCCTCCTCCAGACTCAAGGTAAAGCCGGACAAAACACGTGAAACCACCGTTTCAGACCGTGAA